GCGAAAAAAGAAAGAGACATCTTTTTGTGACCGACGAATTTGGTAAAAAAAAAAAGAAAGAAGCAAAGGTAAGTGAGAGAGAGTAGAAATGTAGAATCGTACGCTCGAGATTCCTTAATGAACGCGGGAATTACGTCATCATGGACCCACACTTAGTGGATCTCAAAGTATCTGTACACCGTTGGATTAATAAGAGGATTGCTTGTTAGACTGTCACTAGATGACGACCTAAAAAAATAAGATAAGGCCAAATCCAGCCCATTATGGACTTACATTTAAAGCCCATAAAAGGCCCATTAGAGTTCTCCTAGAAATTTCTAGATTCACGTGATTTATTCTTGATGGTTCTGGTTTCTCGACACAAATCCAGAAGGTCGAGACTCGAGATATTTAGTTTTATTTCCCTATAAATAGATTCTCCGATCCTTCTGTATTTATCAGAAGTCGAAAACCAAAATTCACTAACAAGGATCTCTACTAATCAAATTTGAGAAAAAAAGTCCACCGAGAAAATGTCGCTGATTCCAAGCTTCTTCGGCAACAACAGGCGTAACTCAGTCTTCGATCCGTTTTCTCTAGATGTCTGGGATCCCTTCAAGGATTTTCAGTCTTCTTCTTCGCTTTCCCGAGAAAACTCAGCGATCGTGAACGCACGTGTGGACTGGAGGGAAACGCCGGAGGCGCACGTGTTCAAGGCTGATCTGCCTGGACTGAAGAAAGAGGAAGTGAAGGTCGAGATCGAGGAAGACAGCGTCCTGAAGATCAGTGGAGAGAGACACGTGGAGAAGGAAGACAAGAACGACACGTGGCACCGTGTGGAGAGGTCGAGCGGACAGTTCTCGAGGAGGTTTAGGCTGCCTGAAAATGTGAAGATGGATCAGGTTAAGGCTGCGATGGAGAATGGAGTGTTGACTGTGACGGTGCCTAAGGCGGAGACCAAGAAGGCTGATGTCAAATCTATTCAGATCTCCGGTTGAGTTTCCAGGATCCTGGTTCGAGTTTTATACATATAATCGGATCTTTGTCTTTGTTGTATCTTTTGTGTTCTGGTTTTAAGTGAGTGTGTGTGTCGTCTGTACGATCATTCGATCGATGATGTATCTTAATAAGATATGGAATAAACAACTATTATTATTATTATAAGCTTTAAACCGAAATCCACTGAATTGTTCACTCTATTAGAGTATTACTTAAATCATTTCATAATTTTGTATCACCTAATAATAATATCTTAAACGAAACACTCATGTAAGAGTAAGAAATAACAAAGGAATAAAAATCTCTTAGGAAACCGAGTTCAACCGAAACTATTTCTTTTTCTCAATTCCGATCGAACCGGCAACGGAATCTGAAATTGAACCGAAAATGTCCACTTCCAGCAGAAGTTACGTCAGCCATGACATATTTAATGTTATCCATTTCTGGCTGGGTTTATCTTCCAAGAAATCATTTGGATATGGTCCACTATGTTCTTTTGTCACGACGTCGTTCCCGTAAGAGTGATAACAAAACCGGAAAAAGACTAGCC